TTGAATAATTCTTTTAATCAATATATTATATTTTTTTATTTTTTTTTCTCATCTTGTTTGTATTAGTTAATATATTATATTATTAGAAATTTGTTTCATTTATATTTTAAAATATTATAATCGATTAATTCTTTAAGATATTTTTTTGATCATTTTGCATTTTCATCAGTTAGTTTTGTCAAATATAATTTGTTCATCGGCAAGTTTGTCAAACATAGCCTAATAGTATAAAAGGAAAAGTCCAGAGAAATCCAACGAATACAACAAACTATCTGATTTTGAATGATTGAGATCATAAACTATTTTTTTGAATGAAAAACCATTAAACTTTCTCAATTTAATGATTAAATTCATAAACATTTGTTTTTTAATAAATAAACAATCGAACTTTTAAAAATTAGTTATTTACATCCTATTAATAAAAAGATTACCTGTAACTCACTAGAAATGTCTTAAAGTAAAAAAGAAACATAAACCAGTTTCACCATTCCCAAACCTTACGTCATTCAAACCCCACACAAACATCGGTAAACACTCCCTGTTGCCCCGTTTTTGTTCGTTCTCCATATCACCTATCAACCTGTTCGAACCCACCATCGATCTCCCACTTTTTGATCTGTTCTTTTTCTTTTGATAGATAAAAATAGATCGAAAAGATGAGATCGATGGCAAGGGTGGTGTCTGATTGGTTTGAGCTTGGCTCCAAAGGTCAAAAGTACCAGGAGGTTTCAGTTTCAAACCCAAGAATGAATAAAAATCCCCTTGTGGCCACTGAGGTTCAAATGCAGTGACTCCGGGCTATCTGCAAAGCAGGTGGTTGCCTTGGGATTAGTCGACTCGCATAGCAGTTTGGATATCCAGGTTAATAAGAAAAAATAGATCGAAAAGATGGAAATCGATGGCAATGGTCAATAACGTGATATATGAAGAAAGGATAAAAATGGTACAAGAGAGAGTGGCAAGGGAGAATAATATCGTTGTTTGCGATGGTTTAACCTTGTGACCACACCACATATCACACCAGCTAAAACCTTAATTTTAAGGAATCAAATTTTGACATGTTAACGAACTAAAACAACATGCATGCATTAAGTGAAGAAAACCGAACATATACATTGTAAGTCCGTACATAGCCTCATTTCTATTTTGTATTGATGGAATCGTATACGTCAGTTTTTCCTTCAACTCCTGGAAGAAGCTTCTCTTCCTTTTAGTCCACCATCCCATCATCATACTTGATGGCCAAACTGTTCTTTCAATGTTTCCGGATGGGTTGTTGAAAATCTCTAATGCACATGTTGTTTATAGTTTTTTAATATTTAAAAAATTATTTGAAAAAGGGAAAGGTTAAATAAATTATTTTTTTGAATGAATAAATCATTAAAATTTCTTATTTTGAATGATCAAGTCCCTAAACATTTTCGTTTCAATAAAATAAACTATCAAACTTTTAAAAGTTAGTTACTTACATCATTTAAAAAAAATACATGTAACCGACTAGAAATGTCTTAGAGTAAAACCATTTGTAACCCCCTAAAAATACATTAAAAAGATGAAGATCAATGACAGAGACCAACAGTGTGATAGCCAACATGAAGAACGGACAATAATGGGGGCAATAGAGAGTGGCAAGGGGAGTGATACCGTTTGTTTGCTAAGGGTTGAAGGGCGTAAAGTTTGGAAACGATAAAACTAATTTAGGTTTTTATTGTACTTTAAAATCTTTATAATCAATTATATATAGCTTTTTTTTATCAAAAGAATGTAACTAATCAATTTTTAAAAATTCGATGGTTTATATATAACAAAACAAAATGTTCAAAGAGTTAATCATTCAAAATGAGAAAAATTAATGATTTTTTTATTCAGAAAAATAGTTTAGAGACCTGATCATTCAAAAAATAATACAGTTCGTTTAGTTTTTATAAAAATAAATAATAATTATTATTATGAGATAGAAAAAGATTATAAGATAAGATGTAAAGAAGGGTGTGCATTTTAAGTTGATTATTGAAATGTCGCATTCGAAGACAAGAACTTTGTGTGGGATGGATAAGAACGTCGCATGCTTTTTGCACGTGATTGGTTTAACTAAAGCCATTGCTACTTTCCACTTTCCACCACACTCTCATTCTTAATTAATAATTACTCTTCATTAATTTATTGATATTAAAATAAATGATTTTGTATTTATTGATGCGTAATTAGTTGGATGTTTTATAGTAAAAAGTAACAGCTTCTCTTTTAGGTAGCGTTTGGTACGCAGACTGGATAGGACATGACGGGACGGGACGGAACTGGACTGGACAGGATGGGACAGGACTAATTGGGTTTTGAATCTCAAATTGGTCTAAGGGTAACATGGTCATTTTATATTTAGTTCCATGTTGTTCCACCTTTTTTGATGGAACAAAAAATATCAAGTTTTGTCCCATGAAATTTAAAAATAATCCCATCTTGTCCTATGTATTTTTTGTCCATGACATGCCAAACATGAGACTATTTTTTTTGTCCCGTCCCGTCTCACATAGTCTGCGTACCAAACGCACCTTTAATGATATAAAATCAGTTCATGATTAAGAGTTAAAGCAACCGGTTAATGTGAAAATATCACCATGATTCGTTTTGATTTTTTGAATTTATATATATTATTACTACCAAAATATTTTATGATTATGGCTCTAAATAACTCTTAATGGCATCAAGGTTTGCGTTCGCCGTCACGTTAATCCCTATGGCTCCACTCTAAGGCTTGACTTCCATTATAAGTTATGACATGTGATCTCGTCGTAACTCGTAAGGCTTGAGGCTTGACATCATCGTCACGTCATGTCTCACATCATTTAGAATCTTGTTTAAAATATCAAGTAACGAAATGGATAGTTATCGATCTCATAAACCTACTATTCAAATCTACCTTACCCATTAAAATAGCGGTGGCGGATAATGAATAAATGGTAAAACAAAATTTTGTTTTGAATTACAAATAGTGTTGTTAAATCTCAAACATATATGTAGAATATAAATTCATAAATACAGTAATTGTTTTATATTTAATTTGTCACAGTAAACATTTTAAGCACAATATAAAAATTGCAAACTAACACTTTTCGTTGTATTTCCGACGGAGTATATAACAAACATTATAAAAAATAGAACCTTTTTAACTAGAGTTATTAAGAGGGCCCATAATCGAAACAAAATAGTGATGAAAATTGTAATTAGTATAAAAGATGGACAAAGAAAATAATAAATATGAAATTAAAATATGGACCAAGAAAATTGTAATTAGTTTAAAAGATGGACCAGTATTGTAAGTCTTTCTAAAAACATGATAAATATAAAATTAAAAGTTAAAAATTAAGAAAATGATACTAACAAGATTCAAACTCAAGTCTAAGGTGCGTTGCAAATCAACTCTACTAAAATAAATTTGTGTTATTATCTATGCTATATTATAAAACATTTGAGAAAAAACTCTTAAAAACTATTTTTATGCATAAATTATTGTATCTTATTTTGAATATAAAGAATCTAAAATATATTTAAAATAATTATTGAGTTGTAACAGAATACTTAATTATTATCTTTATAAAATGTTATATTATTAAACTAAAAATAAGTTATTTTGTTAGTAAACTTAAATTAAATTATAATAAAATTAAAGAAATTACATAACAAATGAGAACTTTTGGATAGTTGATTTGATATTAACATTAATTTTTTTTTTCAAATTTATATTTTATTCAAAAATAAATTTATTTTCACATATATCGTATTATAACATTGACAAAGACAAATAACAAAATAAAAATTAAAATCAAAATTTATTTCGTTGTATTGTACGAATACCCTTCTAATAATTTCAAACACATACGATGTTCCACGGTAGATTCATACATTAACATTTTTTTATGACTCTATATTCTTTTTATACTAAAATAAAAAAAAAAAACAAAACGATGACGGGTACATCGTATGGGATCCAAGGTTCTCGTGATGCCAATGTTTTGGGATATCAAATAGTCCATGGTCACATCATGGGCCACACATTCCACTCCTTGTCTTTCACCACCATTTTTCAATTATATTCCTTAAAGATTGAATTTAGTTATTTAATTAATCTCCACTTCTTT